GCGATACTAAAGAAGACCGTGGGGCACCACTAGGCTGCTACGTGTACAACAAGTCATTCTTCCCCAAATCAGCCTCGCTGTTGCAAAGGTTCGGAGCACCCGCACTGCGCTGCTCTCTCTCGCCTCTCGGTCTCGCACATTCCATTTCGAACCAAAACCCTCTCTCCCCTTGCCTCCATCCCGGATCAAATCGCCACCGAAAATTTCCAAAAAAATAACAAGCACTTGTTCATCATCAGAGTAACCGAGGCAGAACCCTAGCGCGCCGTTCCTCCGACGACTCACCTCCCACCCACTTAACCACCCCCATGGCGGCCAACCCCTCCACCGGCGCCGGCGGCGACGCCCCCGCGGCCCCGGCGGCGGTGCGGCTCTCGGCCGCGGCGCAGGCGGCCGCGATCCAGCCCTCCTCCCCGCGCTTCTTCTTCTCCTCGCTGGCGGGGACCAACCCGGCCTCCCCGCACCGCCGCATCGCCATCGCCGTCGACCTCTCCGACGAGTCCGCCTTCGCCGTCAAGTGGGCCGTGCAGAACTACCTCCGCCCCGGGGACGCCGTCGTGCTGCTGCACGTGCGCCCCACCTCCGTCCTCTACGGCGCCGACTGGGGCTCCATCCCGGTCTCCGTCGCCGACGAGGCCGACGCCGCCGAGGACGCCGCCGCCGCCGCCGTCGAGGGCGGCCCCTCCGAGGAGGAGCTGCAGAAGAAGCGGGAGGAGGACTACGACGCCTTCACCTCCACCAAGGCGCAGGACCTCGCGCAGCCGCTGGTCGACGCCCAGATCCCCTTCAAGTTCCACGTCGTCAAGGACCACGACATGAAGGAGCGCCTCTGCCTCGAGGCCGAGCGCCTTGGCCTCTCTGCTATGATCATGGGGAGCCGCGGTTTCGGGGCATCCCGGAAAGGCGGCAAGGGGAGGCTTGGGAGTGTCAGTGATTACTGCGTACACCACTGTGTATGCCCTGTTGTGGTTGTTCGCTACCCTGATGACGCTGCAGGTGCCGGTGGAGATGCAGCAGGGGCGACAGATCAGTTGCACACGGTACCAGAGGACGAACCTGTTTATCACGATGCGCCTGAGGTGCAGAAAGGTCTGCCTCTTTTCTTTTCCTAACTATATATGTTACTTTAATAGTGCTGATTGACGTTTTTGCAATGAAGTGTTTTATGCAACGATTTAGTAGCACGTAACTTTCTGATATGGAAGACAAATGTTAGTAAAGGATAGTTGATTAAGGAATTTCCTTCAGTTATTGCGTTACTTGTTAATCTTTGATCTTTTGTAAAAAGTTGTAGCGCCAACGGCAAGCCTGATAGCATGGTCCGTGGTGTGTTTCATGGTACTACTGCCCTCAGGTTTATTTAAAGCCCATAATTCTTTTTGGCCAGGCAAATTGGTTTATGTTAAATCAATTAACTTGCTTCAGGCTCCTGTAAACTGTTAAGAATACTGATAGTGTGTAATGCTACATGTTTGGCGGTTCTCTTAGAATTGTACCAGGACAATACCATCGTAGTGGCAAAGCTACAAATGTACATGAAAGTATGGTGCAAATACATCTGCTTCTGCAGACTGCATGTCTTCACTGTTGATATTGCTTTTTTATTCCTTGCTTAATGCAAGAATATGCAATGCAATTTTCCTGTGTATTTTGATATAAAAAAGCTGCTGTGCTTAGTTGGTTATGCTGGATAGTGTACATTGAAACATTGAGGAAATATTTGCTCAGATATGATTTTAACGTGTTTAGAGTAAGCACAAGAAATTTAAATTCAAGTGAACAACAATTTTGCAGATATTAAGCAAACACTGAACCTTACCAGACAGAATTATAATGTCAATAGCTATATTATTAGTTGCATGTGGCAGGGCCGGCAGGAGTTGGGCGTGTTACATCTCTAGTTACTTTTTTTATGAGTGTATAGGCTGATTGATAAATCACTATTTTATTTTAAAATTTTAATAGTTCAATACTCACTGAAGAAGTTTATCATAAATCAAAATGGTAGACTATGCTTTCCAGTTGAATAAATAGGGAAAATTTGCATCATGGGACAATAGCTCCAGTAGCTCAGATGCTTTGCCAAAGTTGCACGTAGCTACTTAGCTTGCTTTGCAATTTAATCAAACTAGTTCAAGACTGCCTGCTTAAAATTAGTCTCTCTTTTTCTTAGGTCTAATCTGTCACACATTTAAGGTTGTCACTAAAGCAGAAATTTATTCACTGCCACCTTCGTGGAGGGTTTTCCACTTCAAAGTGTTTGCTTTTTTGGAAGGTTTTGCCTAGGGACACAGACATTTAAAAACATCACATATTTCAGAAATCTAGAGTATTTTTTTCTAGTTAAAAATAGTGTTTAAAAGGCGACTAGGCGTCCAGACGAGTGCTGGGTCCGCCTGGACGCCTAAGCGGCACCTAGGCGACAAGTCGCCACTGTTTCCCAAGGTGAGCTGGGTACGCCTGAACACCTAGGTGACACCTTTGTAACGCTGGTTAAAAATTATCTTGATTGTCCACCTCTCTAATCCTTTACGCATCTGGAGTATTTGTGTCACTTCTATGGTGGTATCGGCCCCCTCCTTTTTTCTGTTTATTCTTATGCCCTGACAAGGGTTCTCTGTATTGCTACTGCCATGCTATTATCATGCCATCCTCACTTCTCTTATTGCCTTGGTGTTACTACTCTGTTACTTTTATCCTCTCATGTTGTTACTTCTCCCTAGTTGCATTAAATGAGAACCAACATTGTCATTAAACTGCTTCAAACTACAGATCATCCACATATTATTGATTGAAGCATACCGTTTTATCATCTTATTTTTCATTTATAAGTAACCATGCTGTGGATATAGGTACTGTTGTCTGTTAGCTCAAGAACACGAGCTGTTCTTCTTACTTGGAAGTTGTTTGGAACAAATGGATCTGGACTAGGGGCCTTATTGGTTTGTTGGCCATGTTGCCATCACCATTTTTTTATTCTTAGCTTGTGGGCAACTTGTGACAGTAGGTACAGGGAGTTTAACATGTCCTTGGTTGCAGAAAATTGTAGCAAAAGATTAAAGAAAACCAAGACAGGGATATTTTTCCTACACGATTGAACTGTATGATGTGCTAGGTCCTTTAGTTTGGGATAGAATTGTCCTACTGGTTTCTTAGTGTTGGCAACTTACTGATGATAGTTTGAGATACAAAAATGCTTTGGTCCTTGTGTACATCTATTTGTTGTTCATATTCAGTTTTCCATCAGACGATAAAACACATTTCATATGCCATTTCCTTTTGAATATTCTTTGTGAAAAAAAATGTTACTGGTGCCGATGTTCTATGATGCCATATTTTAACTCGATTTTTGCAAGAACAGTATCGCTGCATTAACACTGTGTTTGCTTTTGTTATTTCATCTAGTTTGATGGAGCATATATTCATTTGCTCTCGTGTCTTGCATGTTGGGTGCCCCTATTTGACAATTGACAAAAACATAACCAGTCACTTCCTCGTATGCCAATCTTTGCTTTTTTGAGCCTCATAATCAGCCTGCTATCCAACTTTTGTGGTGTGGAAATCGACTTGTTGACATATGTTGCTTGCTTGATTCTGATTCCACTGTATCTGTGGATGCAGAAAACTGAGGTAATGGCCGCAAGCAGCTGGAGAACGAGGAAAACATGAGGCTTGTCTTGTAGTGAGGCGATCCTGTGTATCTGGAAGATGGGACTGGCTGTTTATCTTTGCTTCTGTATATCAACTGTGTATCATGATCAGCTGGCTGCTTCCCGTTTTGAGTTTCATATCAGAGTCCTAGATCGTCGGAGTCTTTGTTGGTTTGCTTGTGAGATGTTTATGTCGTCGACACTCGACACCATGTAGAGTACTCTTCCCGTGGGTAGAAGCTGTATTGCAGATGCTTATGCTGGGGGCTGGGCTCTCCTGTCTTGTTTTGCAGAGCCGGTGATGAGCTTTATGTTCCCAAATGGTTCGTTTGACTTTTTTTTTTGACTCTAAGTATGACCATATCTTCTTCAAAATTTTGTGCTAAATATTAATTCTTTTATTGTGGCTCACTTTATTAATAAAAGTTTTTCAAAAATGATTTAAATTTAGCTATGTTTGCATAAATTTTTTAAATAAGACGAGCGGTTAAACTTGGGATAAAAAAAGTCAAATAAATTATAATTTGGAACGGAGGGAGTAGCTGTCTACACGGTATCATCTGCTCTATTCAGCCTGTCTACTGTATTGGATACTTATTAATGGAGAACCGCTACTTTTGTATTTATTACTCCTCCGATATTGGATAGAATAATTGCTTAGCTGGACAGTTTTTGCTGGTAAAATCATCAGCTTATGCGTGCATGCTCCACGTTTTTTTTTGTAAGAATAGTTTGAGAAGAATTTATTAGAGATAAATTTGTCACAAGAAATGCCATATTGTAAGCCGCTTCTAGATCAGTACCCCCTCTTTCTCAAATAAGTGCACAATTTCGTATTTCATAAAAAATATCTAGATTTATAAAAAAAATAGTATGTACATTTAAATTTGTTTACTAAAAAAATATATGGTGTGATTATTCTAATGAATTTCATTTGTTATAATAATATTGGTATTTGGTTAAATTTGAGATTAGTTACACTATAAAAGGGAGTTTTTTTGTTGGAAGTGGGAGTACACGTACAACGAATTTTGTTTTTCCTTTTTAAAAGGGAAAAAATTACAAAAATAACACTCGAAAGATTGACTATTTGATTATGATGACACTCTTGGATGGATAACAAGGCCATTTGAATGATCAGTGAGTCCATCTATACCTATAAATATGGATCTATATTTAATATAGGTCATGTATCAAATCAGTACCATTTTTGTAAATCGCCCACTTCGAAAGGGCCGCTAAAAACTCGATCCCACATACCCGCAGCGCAGCAACAGGCCAACAGCGAGCGAAGCGAGGGGACGGCGAGGTTAGGAGAGGCGGAGAGGCATCCGGCAAAGGCGGCGAGCCATGGAGGAGGGCCTGGTGTCGGTGGACAAGTTCTCCGGCGGCAGCCAGGTCTACTTCCTGACGCATCTCCACCAGGACCACACCCGTGGTCTCGGTGAGGCGGGTGGGTGGCGCCACGGCCCGCTCTACTGCTCCCCGACCACGGCGCGCCTCCTCCCCATCCGCTTCCCGGGAATCGACGCCTCCCTCCTCCGCCCGCTCGCTCCAGGTGCTTCTGCCTCCATCTCCCTATCATCTCCCTCCTCCGGCCAGCCCCTCTCCCTCCGCGTCACCGCCATCCCCGCGCTCCACTGCCCCGGTACGTCACCCCTCCTGATTCGCTCGCTTCACTTTTTTCTCTACACGACTAGCACGGAACTACTGACCTTCGGCTGGTTTCCGTGGCCGACGCGTCCCTCCGCGCAGGATCGCTCATGTACCTCTTCCACGGAGACCTCGGGTGCATGCTGTACACGGGGGACTTCCGGTGGGAGCTCAGGTGCGATAAAGCGCGGCGGGCGAAACAGGCTTTACTGGACGCGCTCGGCGGGGATACCATTGATGTGCTCTATCTGGACAACACCTACTGCCACCCGTCACTCAACTTCCCTCCACGCCCCGTCGTCGCTGAGCAGGTCAGTTTCGCTTAAACACAAGCGTGATTGTTATGCCAATTTATGTCTTCTTCGCATAATGGTTCAGTTTACCGCTGATGATGCCCTTACACGAAACATCATTTTTTTTTGGAACAATTACATCTGACATAGGAGTATATGACAGGTTCAATAATTTGATGATAAATTCAGTGAAGTACTGATGCCTGAATGTCATCAGAAATACATTTCCGTGCACATTGTAGAGCGGATCGTGAGTTGTCAATGGGATATTGTTACAGTTTAATTCTGTTGTTTGAATCTCTCGGTTCACCTTGAGCATGCATCTTGACTCATGACACAACTAATTAGTGTTTCCTTGAAAAGCAGTCTAGCATAGTTTTTTTTTTGTTGCTGAATGAAAAGTGAAATCTAATGTGCACATATTGGTTGCTTAAGCTGCAGTAGCCATCATGCCTAAATGAGTATGAATTGTGATTGATGTCCTACTAGTGCTGCCACTGTGAACAGCCTGCAATAGAATGTCAATAGCAACATGTAAACATATTGCCTATGCTTATGTTCATGTGTTGAATGTACTGAACTAGCCAAAATAGAAATCAATGTAGTTCATCAATCTGTGATTGTCGGTGCTCATGTTTCTTATTTTTGAAATGCAGATGGTTGATATAATTCGGGCACATCCTGATCATGAAGTTATCATTGGTGTTGACACTCTTGGAAAAGAAGACCTCTTGCTTCATATATCTAGAGCTCTACAGACGAAGGTTATAGACTTCTTTTCTCAACATACTCCATTTTATACTCTTGAGTCTTGACAGAACATTGATGAGTGATGATGACTAATTTCTTTTGAGAAACAACTAAAGTAGCCATGGCTGATGCTCTGTGTTTGAACATTAACTTGCTTTTCAGATTAGTATATGCAGGCTATAACTAAGTTGAGCTGCAAACAATTGATATGCTAACTGCTAGTTTAACTGATTTCCTAAACATTACACGTCCAGCTTCCTTACTCCAGAATGTTTTCCTTCAATTTTCTCATCAGATCTGGGTTTGGCCCCAGCGCCTACTGACAATACACCTTCTAGGGATTGATGAAAACCGTGAGATTTTTACCACACAGACCAGTTTGACTATGATCCGTGCTGTTCCAAGGTATAGTGTCACCATTGATAATCTTGAAGCTCTAAACACAGTGTGCCCCACTATAGGGATCATGCCTTCTGGTATTCCTTGGCTTTGGAAGAGCAGCGAAGGAAAGGTCAAACCCAAAGGTAGATCATCACTGAAGTCTATCGGGTGCTTAGGGAGAGGTGAAGGCCTAACAGAAATGGACTACAATCCCTTGTCACCACCAAAGCTGTTTGACAAGGATTCTTACGCTTTACCATATTCCGAGCATGCTTGCTTTTCAGAGCTGGAGGATTTTATGCATACAATGCGCCCATCGACAGTCATAGGAATTGTCAGCTCATCGTTCTGCTATGTGAATCCCCGTCACCACTTCAGACATCTTTGTTTAGACAGTAAGGTTAATGTTTACAGGACGCCCATAAAAAACAAGGGTGGGGATAATGATAAGTTAACACCAAAGAGAAGGCGAAATGGTTCTGTGACTCCAGAAGAAAGGAAGGTCAGGATCTCCAGTTCAAGTCTGTATAGAAGCAAAGTTACAATGAAAAGGAGGGAGTGCTGCGGTGCAAGGATTAATGACACTGAAGAACACATTGGTGTTGCCTGAGTTATTGCTCCCCAAGTAAGGTTATGCTTTTGTAAATATTAACAGCTGGATGGTGGAAGGCTTGAAGCAATGAGATGGGATATGTTGTTCAAAGCCCAAAGTTAACAGCTTGGCAGCCAGGAATCTGGATGCGGTCTCTGCTATCTGTTCCTTAGAACCCTGTCGTGCTAGCAAGTGCTATTCCTCTTGTGATGTTGTTTAGTTAGATTGCTGAAAGCTTGTATGCTTGTAGTTGCTACTGATACATTTTTTTTTTTTTCTTATCAGTTATTGATAAGTTTAATCATGGCCTATATACATCACTGAAAGTTACTGGAATCTGGTAAAAAAACTGTTATGTTCAGTTTCTTGGTGAGCTGGCCATGATCTATCCACATGCCTTCTGTGGACCTGAATACCTGATTGGTAGGGAGTCTATGCACAGGCCTATCCCAAGAGAGAAGAGACCCAATGGGACCGTGAAATAGCTTAGTTTTTTTTTTGTTTCTATGCATTAATCCACCAGGGTAAATCATATATTATTTTTATTGTACCATGCCTTTATCCTTTTGTTAATTGTAACAATGCTACCAATACATTTCATCATGCTGTAAATACATCACTTGCAGTGCTCAAAAGTTGCAAACCATCTTGAACATCTTGGGCATGTGGGCGTCGACCAGGAGCAGCGGTGGTATCTGGACTCTGGTGCCAGTAACCACATGACGGGCTCCAAGGACTCCTTCTCCGAGCTCGACGGCGATGTTACCGGTACGGTGAAGTTTGGTGATGGCTCAAGGGTGGCTATCCAAGGGCATGCACCATCATCTTGAGATGCGAATGGGGAGCATCATAGCGCTAACGGATGTATACTACATCCCGCAATTGCGTTCAAAGATCATCAACATTGGTCTTGGATGATGTAGCGAGGTTCGATCAAGGACGGTCGAGGATCGAGACCGGAAGCGGCGACTTCGCCAAGGTGAAGAGGTCCTCTGAACCGGTTGTACCGCCGACCGAATGTAGAGTAGCCGGTTTGCCCGCGGCGGCAGGCACTGAGGAACTGTGGATGTGGCATGCCCGGTTCGGACATCTCGGCCCGGACGCGCTTGGTCGGCCGGAGAAGATGGTCCGAGGGCTACCCCACATCAAACACGGAGGCGAGCCAGGTGATACCTTACTGGCCGGGAAGCGAGGAGGCTACCTTCCCCAAAGGCGGCCAAGTATCGCGAAGGAAGCTCTCGAGCTAGTTCACGGCGACCCGTGGGCCGATCACGCTTTGCTACATGCGGTGGTCGGCGGTACTTTCTCCTATTCGTGGATGATTGCGCGATCGCTACATGTGGTCGCAACTCCCGACGAAGCAAGGACGAAGCGGCGAGCGGTGGCGATCAAGAAGTTCAAGACGCGCGCGGAGGCCGACAATGGCAAGAAGCTCCGTGTATCGAGGATCGATCGGGTGGCGAATTCACTTCGGTGGAGTTTGCTACGTCATCGCGCGGATCAAGGTGTGGGGCAACATCACACCGCTACCGCCGTTCGCCACAACAGAATGGCGTGGTGGAGCGACGGAACCAGACGATGGTCGGCATGGCCCGATCCATGATGAAGGCCAAAGGATGCCGCAAAGTTTCGGGAGAGGCGGTGACCACGGCGGTGTTCATCCTCAACGCGCTTCCAACCAAAGCCCTAACGGGCAAGACGCCGTTCAAGCTTGTACGGAGCAAGCCGAACGTGTCATTCCTCCGGACATTCGGTTGCATCGGCCACGCCGGAAGACGAAGCCAAACCTCACCAAGTCGGAGGACATGAGCACACCCATGGTGTTCTGGGCTACGCGGAGGGTACCAAGGCGCATCGGCTCTATGACCCACGCGGAGACAAGGTGACTTGTCTCTCGCGCGACGTTGTGTTCAACGAGGAGGCGACTTGGGACCGGCGCATCCCCGAGCACGGGGAAGCAGGAGGCTTTCACCAACACCTTCGTCGTCGAAAGCACTCGGTCATCCACGACGGTGGAGACGCTTGTGAAACAGTGCCACGCACTCTGGAGGAGCACCGAGCTCCGGGCGGTAGAGTCGAGCACTTCGGGCAAAGGTCTTAGCACTTCGAGGGGATGCCGAGCACTCCGAGAGGAGTGTCGATCATGGAGGAATGCCGAGCACGCCAGAGTGGAGCTGGGGAGGTTCTGATGGCGGCGACCACTTCAGACGGGTACCGAGCACTCCCGTGACGGAGCCAAGGCGTCTTCATCGTGGTTCCGATCACCCAAGATCGAGGTCGTGCACCCTACGGGTGGCGAACACTGGGGAGTTATGAAGCCCGTAGAGCGGCCGAGCACTTGTGTGCTATCACGAGGCACTCCGCGGAAGAAGGAATTTCATCACCCCGATCGAAGTTCGCCTCACCTCCAAGTGACATCACCGAAGTTCGTGAACGCCTACCACGAAGGTGAGGAGTTGAGGTTCCAGTAGGTCGGGACGACATCGTCGGGCGCACAGTCCCTCGGTATGGCGGTAGGTCGCTCAACGACGCACGCTACTCGTCATTGCAGAGGAACCACCCACGTCGCGCGCTAGCCGAAGAAGCGATGGAAATCGGGCGACAGCGCTTTGGAGGAGATGAAGGCGTCGAGGAAAACGAGACTTGATACTCGTCGATCCACCTTTGGATGCCGTCCGATCAGCCTGAAGTGGGTGTACAAAGTTAAAAAAAGACGATTTTGCGCCATTGTCAAGCACATGGCGCGCCTCGTCGCCGAGGCTTTGTCCGGCCGCGAGGGCATCGACTTCGAGGAGGTCTTTGCGCCGAGAAGCGCGCGATGGAGTCGGTCCGTTTGCTACTAGCTTTGGCGGCAAAGAAGGACCGGGCGCGCCCATCACTTGGACGTTAAATCGGCCTTCCTCAACGGCGAAATGGCGGAAACGGTCTTCGTCAGCAACCTCCGTGGTTATTTGTCAAGGGAGAGAGGAGCAGGTGTCGCGATCAGCGCAAAAGCGCCACGGCTAAGGCAAGCCCTCGAGCATGGAACGCCAAGCTTGACACCACCCGGGCGCAGCTTGGGTTTCAGAGGTGCGCAATCGAAAGCACGCGCCTACACGCTGATGACGGGAAGGAAGAACTCGTGGTCGGCGTGTATGTGGATGACTTAATCGTCACCGTAGCGCAAGATGGAGGATATCAACGACTTCAAGCGAGAGATGGCAGCTCGCCGAATGAGCGATCTCGGCGCTCTCTCCTACTACCTCAAAGATCGAGGTGAGACATGGGAAGGAGGAACTCACGCCGGGCAAAGCGCGTATGCCTCAAGCTGCTGGAGAGGAGCGGCATGGTGGAGTGCAAGCCATGCGTGACTTCGATGGAGGAGCTTTGAAGGCGACGAAGGACAAGACCGGCGGGCGAAAAGTAGATGCAACACTCTACCGGAGCATCGTCGGTGGTCTGCGCTACCTAGTCCAACAAGGTCGGACATTGCGTTCGCCGTTGTGGGCTACGTCGGCCGCTTCATGGAGGATCCCGAGAGAGGATCATCGGGCTGCGGTAAAGCGGCTACTACGCTACGTCAAGGGACGGTGAATCATGGAATCATCTTTCCAAAGACCGGGAAGTAGTGCGACTCACGGTGTTCGGGCCGATGCAGCATGGCGGGGACATCGACAAACGACGGAGCACCTCCTGGCGCACTTCGCTTCCTGGTCAGCCCCAATTTCATGGTTGTCGCTAAAATGAAGGTGGTGGCGCTATCTCGCGAGGCCACGAAGCGGCGACCACTGGCGGCTGCAAGTTGTGTGTGGAAAGATGAAATTTTTTCGGGCGAGCTAACCGGCGTGGAAGCTCACCCACCAAAGATCGATGGTAGACAACCAGCCCGCCATTGCCCTTGCGAAGAATCTTCTCGCACGATCGAGTAAACACATCGACGTGAAGTTTCACTTCCTCAGCGACCGTGTTGATGGAGGGCAGATCGTCATCGAGTTCGTCGAAACTGCTCGGCAGCTCGCGGACGTCCTCACCAAGCCGCTCGAACGACTTTGACTCATGGAGCTGAAGGAGATGATCGGCATGGAGGGGGTACAAGGGTTAGCAAAGATGATTAGGGAAGATTGTTAGCTAATCATCGCCACCTTGTGTGAACACAAGAGAAAGGCGGCGCCGACTTACACTTCGTGTGTGAACACAAACAAGGAAAGGCGGCGCCGACTTTTGCCTCTGTTGTGATACAAGAGATGAGGGTGTAGAGCGCCGCCGGCTCACTCCTGCAAAGATCAGAGAACAAAACGGCATATCCAGTCACCTGTCAAAGTTATTTAGTTATCGTACAAAGATGGGGCGCCGCACATGGACTAGATAGTTAGAGTTGTATAAATAGACATGTATGGCAACTCAAGAAAGAGAGCTTATATTTGCTATCACACGACAGGCTTCGCCAACGCCGTTGTCTTGTATTGTGCGTGCTTGCTCGCTTTCTCCTTTCTTCTTCTAGCTCGATCCGTAGTGTGTGGGTAACGAACAACACCCGATGCGTGGTGTCGCTAGTGGGTGCTCGGCAACACTATGCGTGGCGAGACCGACAAGTGCTCCACTCGCCGAGCCGGTGCTCGGCAAGATCGGCCGGAGTGGTTTATCGTCGTGAGCCGGTGATCCCGTGAGACCAACGGAGTGGTCTGGAGGCTATCTCGGTGGTCTGGAGGCTATCAGGTAGTGGTCTGGAGCCCTGGTCGGTGGTCTGGAGGCTATCTGTAGTGGTCTGGAGATCATCACGGTGGTCGAGAGGCTAATTGTGAACCAACGGCGCGCCGGAGGTGGAAGCTTTGGCCTGTATCGAGGGCCTGCGCTGGGCACATCATTCGGGGTTCACACAGATTATTCTTGAATCGGATTGTGCTAGAATTACGTCGGCTATGATGAGCAATGCTCCGGACCGATCGGAGGTCGGACCTATCATTGAAGAGGCAAAAAGCTGGATGTGATCGATGAATGGGTGCATCATCTCCCAAGTGAAGAGAGAGGGTAATAGTGTA